CAGAGGCAGAAGTGTCGCCTGCTGCCGCCGCCCTGGATGGACGCCGGTAAGGACGGGGGTGGCGGCGGGGCCGTCCCGGGGCCCTCGAGGCCTGCGGTCGCAGTTACTGTGCTTAGCTGACCCATTTTGCCTTAAAGCCAAATACATGTTTTAGATTTTTCAAACAAGCACCGACCAGCGTGTTGAGAAGCAGTTTTTTTCGTGTGTGTGGTATTGGGGATTGAACCTAGGGCCTTTGCTCTGAAATGAACTACGTTTCCAGCCTCTTTTTAAGTTTTCCACTTTTTTCCCCTATTTTTACATTTTTTATTTTGAGAAAAGGGCTCACTAAGTTACTTAAGTTGCCCGGACTGCACTGGGACCTTCAGTCATCCAGCCTCAGCCTCCCGAAGTGGTAGGATCGTGGGCCCAGAGCAGCTTCTAGGCGGTTCTCTTATGTTAAGGAGGGGGCATAAAAATGTGTCACTCTACACGCAATTCTGGTTAGCCACAAAAAGGAATGTGGGTTAACCTTGCCGTCGTGTTGAGTCCACAGAACGCCACACACTGTGTGACTCTGGGATTGGCAGATCCGTAGAGATAGTAGGGATTGCTGGATTTGGGGGTTTTGGAGGCGATGGAGGGATTATGGGGTCTCTTTTTGGCATAATGAAAATATTCTAAAATTGAATTGATCACCTTGAGTATGCTTAAAGCTTTGATCTGTATAATGTGAATTAGGTAGTGTATTATCCCTCAAGGCTGTTAGTAAAAGCAGGAAGAAAAGTAACACATCAGTCACGGGCAGACTTTATCCTGAACTTTTGCAGTCTTTTTTCTGGTTTTATTTTTGTTTGTTTGTTGAGACAGGGTCTTGCTGTGTAGTCCAGCTTGGCCTTAAACTCACAAAGTAGCCCAGGCTGGCCTTAAACTTGTGATCCCTCCAGCCTCCTAAGTGCCGGGATCATCAGCCACCAAAACTAGCTTTGCCATCTTTTCTCTTTCTCAGCTGTGAGATTCTCTTTTTGTCCGAGGGCTGTGGGCACACGTGTAGCAGAAGGAACCCTGAGTGACTTCACCTGCTCTTCCCTAGTGGTGATCACGGGGTACCAGCCAGCGCCTCTTAGACCAGTTTCAGAAAGTCTGCTGGGTTTTCCTCAGGCCTGGTCTAGTGGAGTAAGTGACTGATGGTCCTGAATTCCTCTGCTTTGGGGCTTTTCTGGCAGGGAACCCCCCAGGCCTGACCCCATTAGCCAGCCCTCTCCAGGATCCCCCTAGGCCTGACAGAGTGTGACGCTGCGCAAATGGGTTTGTCTAATCTGCTTCTCTCCTTTAGGAGCGTGTTGTGATTTGCCCCATTGCATGAGTCATTGTTATTCTCAATTCCCTAGCGCTGTCCCCTTCTGCACCTTGTATTTATTCACCTTTTCTTGTGGTGTTGGATATTTGGATTTCCCATTTTTAGCTATTCTGAATTATGAAATTCTTGTCCATCTTTTTGTAGATACTTTTATTTTCCTCTAGGTAAATAAATACCTAGAGTAGTGCATGTGCTGGGTGTTAGTATGGTTGATGCTTAACTTGGTAAGAAATTATAGCCCTGTGGAAAGCGTACCCTGTGATCCCAGCACTCTGGAAGTCTGAGGCAGGAGGATCACAAGTTTGAGCCCAGCCTGAGCAGCTTAGTGACATGGCCAGGCCAGAACCTGTCTCAAAAAATTTTTAAAAAAGGGCAGCTGGGATGTAACTCAATGGAAAGTCTCTGAGTTAAATTCTTAGTGCCACCCAGGCCCAGTCCTCCAGAAGTCCTCCAGAAATGTAGGCCAAGAGTTCCTGTTGTTCATGTCCTGGCCAGAAGTTTGGTTTTCTTTTTGATTTGGGGAGTTTGGGCAGAAGTGTTGCATAATCTGATTCCGGTGGTGAAAAGCCATCCCAGGGCTCAGGGTGTGGCTCCGTGGTAACGTGGTTGCCTGGCACGTGCACGAGGCTCTGGTCTCCGTCCGCAGCACCTGGGAAAATAAAACTCATCTGCTATGTAGAGAAGGCGCGTGGGAGTTGAGAATTACCAGGACTGCTTGCTGATGGGCTGTAGCTGTAGCCTGTTGTGCTGGGAGGGAAGAGGGAGCAGTGCTGTGCTGAAGGGTTGGCTGGCTGTGGGGTGAGAGGGTGCTTTTAAAGCCCCTAGGACGGTGGTGGTGAACCCATGGCATCGAAAGCTCTAAAAGGTTTGCCCTCGCTGCCTTAGGATATTATACTGGCCCTGCTGTGTCGGCAGTTTGTACGTTGCCCGCTTTCTTCTGAACCAGACTTGATATATAACACTTTCCTCAAGTCACAGGTAGTTTGGATCACTTACCGAATCAAAGGTAAGATACTTTCTTTCCCTGAAGAAAGAATTTCTGTGGCAGGCATATATTTTGCTGTCTAAAGTGAAAGAACAAAAACTGTCCTTGAGAGAAATTTTCAAGGAGGTGTGGCCTTATCTCTTAAGTAGCATAGCCATTACTCAAAAAAAGAAATTTTTTTTTTTTGCTTTTTGAGACAGAGTCTCACTATTTAGTTGAGACTGAGACTGACCTGGAACTCGCTATGTAGCCCAGGCTGGTCTCAAACTCACAGTGATCCTCCTGCCTCAGCCTGGAGTGCTGGGATTACAGGCGTGCACCACCATGCCTAGCCAAAAAAAATTTTTTTAATGAAGTTGCTAGTTCATCAACTATGTAATACTGGCATTTGGTAAATTTGGAAGTTTAAAAGTTATTTGTGGTAATATTAAATGTATGAACTTCTAAATTTCAGAAAAGTTGGAGAAGATAAGGGATCATGAACGAAAGGAGGAAACTTTTACCCCAGTGCCCAGCCCTTACTACATGGAACTCAGCAAACTCCTGCTAAAGCAGTGAGTACAGCTCGCTCCTGAGACTCCACACCTCAGGGACACTCGGGATTCTTTCCCACCATATGCCCTCCCTGCTCCTTCCCCCAACTCTGTCGGATTAGTCCTGGGTCATCTCTTGGAGCTCCCTGAGCACCTGGTTGCGGAGCTGCAGTAGAGAACTAGGACTGAAAACGGATTGGACCGTACTGCTTGCTCAGTGTGGTTGGGGGGTGAGGGCCCCGGATGGCACAGCCGACATGGAGGGGAACTCGGGGACTTCACACAGCGTCTTTGGGTTGGTGGGAGGCTGCGCTTCACCTCCTCGGATAGAGCCTTAGAAGCAGCAGTACACCAAGTGCTGTACCATGGGCTGGAGCCCCCAGTCTGGGGCAGATGAGATGTGAGCCTGTCATTAGCTGCGGCGGTCAGTGTGCAATTGTCTGGCTCAACAGGGACAGTTTAGGAGTTCTTGGGGGGTACAGGCTCAAGGAGGGAGCCTCCCTGGGTTGGTGGAGGGAAGGCTGTGTGGCACAGCCTGGGGCACTGTGTCTGGAGGGTGTGAAGAACACGAGTAGAAGCAGGGTGTCTTCAGAGAGGTCTGAGATGGCTGTGCAGTTGGGACAGTGGCTTGAAGGGGAGAATTGGAAAGCACAGACCGGTCACGAGAGCATTATCCCGTGAGGGCCTGTCCAGAGTTAGTGTTTGAAATTCAGTGTATATGTACTTCATGTCAAAAACCCTGTTCTATAATTCATTTGACTAAGGGACCTAATTTATCCTTATTCTGCTGTTCATTTGACAAGGACCTGGCGTACTTTGTTCTTTAACCTGTTCACTGCATACATTCTGTACTACAGATCTGGCACTTACAGTCCTGAGTTAATTGCATGTGCCGAGAGAATCTCTAGCTTAGAGTGCCTAGTGATGGACAGTGTTTGCTTCTGCTTTTATTCTTGGTTTGTCTGTCTTCAAAGGTTGGCCTAAAATATCTCAGAGGAAAGCTGCTATTGCCCTCTGACTTTAAACTTTTACTCAGAATTTCATTGTATATGCATTTTGTACTGATTTGTATGATCTGTAATTTTTTGCATGACGAAGGATTGAACCCAGGGCCTTCACACTGAGTGAGTTACATGCCTGCTAAGTAGCCCCGGATGGGCTTGAATTGGTGTTCTTGCCCTAGCCTCCCAGAGAGCTAAGGTTACAGTTGTACACCATCATGCTTGGCTTGTAACTTGTTTTCTCTGTAGATGGGGACAATCCCTGTCCCTCAAGGCTCTCGGGGGTGGAAGTGCTGTGCCAAGTGCTGAGCACAGACCTGCAGGTTTGCTTTCCTGGTGGGTTTTGTGCCTGGATTCCCAGTAAGGAGCAGAGATCTGCTTATCACTATAAATAAGAGCAGCAGAGGTTATGACCTTAGCCAGCCCTCGAAGCCAATTCTGGATGGAAGTTTTGATGGACAGAATGCTGTTATCCTGAGGACGAGGCTGTCAGACTTGGAGCCAGCTTTCCAATACCTCACTCTCAAGTATACGATCCTGTGCAGCAGCCGGTGTGGGACAGTTCGCATGAACAAGAATAGCTCGGTTCGTTCCTGTTGCATGTCATCGGCAGCAGGCTTACCTGCAGAAATCCTCATGTCTTAGCATTGAAGACAAAGCCAAACACTTTCTGACATCTCAGTGATTCCAAGCAGCATTATAAAAAGTCTGTCTGGTGCTGCCTTAGTTTACTCTGTCCTTACTGATTCACTGTTCCTTTTAGTGCTTCAGACAATATTCCCAGAGCAGATGCAATCCGGACCCTGATCAAAGATCTGTGGGACACACGCATGGCCAAGCTCCGGGTGTCTGCTGACAGCTTTGTGCGGCAGCAGGAGGCACACGCCAAGGTAGGTGTGGCTCCTAGGGCTGGTAGGGCTCTGCCTGCAAGAGTTGTGATGTTGCTGGGGAATTTTACACGGTACCCTGCCTGTTCAGGTAAAGAAAGAGCTGTGCTTTTAAGACAATTACGGAGGCAGGGGTAGAGCTCAGCCACAGAGCACATGGCCTTGGAGTCAGTCCCCAGCACTGCCACCACCACGACAAAAAAAAATCATTGGTTTCTTCTTTTTATTCAGTGAAGTTTTAGGCCAACTGGTCTGTTTTCTTTTGTTTCAGCTGGATAACTTGACCCTGATGGAGATCAACACCAGCGGGGCCTTCCTCACAGAGGCGCTCCGTCACATGTACAAGCTGCGCACGAACCTCCAGCCTTCGGAGAGCACCACGTCGCAGGACTTCTAGAGCAAGGCCTGTGGTGGCGGTGGAGGGAGGGCTGGCACCTGCCTCCTGGAGGACTGCTGGGTGATGCGCCTGCTCAGGGTGTGACAGGTACTCACAGTTCAAGAGTTCTGGACACATTTTTGAACGTGTGAAAAAAGTGTAATGCTCTGGGAGTGAATTTTAAAAACAGGTGAGAAAGCAACAAACTTGTGAATAACGTACAACACTCAGCTCCCTTGGATGGTCAGTTCCCCACTCGATTCTAGGAGCCAGCTTTTCTGCTGTGGGGTAAAGGAAGAAGCTTTAGGCGAGAAAGTTCTCCCTAGCCAAGCTGTGGGTCTCCTGTGTGGAAATGCCATGCATGGTGAGTTTTGGTGGATACATAGGAGTGATGCTGTGGCTGGGGGCTTCTCCCTTTCTCCGTTCCGGTTTTGTGGCTAGAGTTAGCATCTTGTAGATGTGGCTCACACAGAAGGGTGGCTGACGAGGGGCTGGTGATGCTGACCATTGTTTATCATCCAGGTCCCAATCCATAATAAAAATGTGATCAGCTTGAATCTGTTCGGTTTCTGTCCTGTATAACTGCTGAGTAAAAGGAGCACACTCTGTGGCCAAGATGGTCCCCTAAACGGAAACGATAGTGTGCAGCAGTCGACTGGAAACTGCAGGCGACATTCAGGGTTATTGCTCAGTCTGGTGCACTTTATGAAGAGGAAGATCAGGGAGAAGCTAATGTAGTGTGGAGTGCAGCTGCAGGCACAGTGCTGGGAAGAGGTGGAACCTCTTCTGCTGCTCTCGATAGGTACGGGGCAAGTGCTCTTTGTGGTAGACAGCAGCGGCTTCACTCTCCAGTTGTGCAGCTGTAACATTGTGGAATTCTTAGGTCCCTTACAGAAATCACCTTGAGTGTGGTGATTATCGTGCCATGCTGGAGTAGATTCTGTCACCAGTGAGATTTTTGACTTAGCACCCAGTGCGTCAGAAGCTGCATTGAGCTTCACGGGAGCCCTGTGCACACGTGTGGTCCACTTGGTGTAGAGTGAGTGCTTCTGGCATCTCTCTGGGCTGGCTGCTACCCTGTCTCCATCAAGCAGATGCTGGTTACTGTTTGAATACCAAGCGCCAAACCCAGAGGAACAGGACCAAAAGATGGGCGCGTCTGTAATTTAAGGTGCCGTTTGGAGGGCTGCAGGTGACGGGACTTGCCTTTTCACCTCTCTCTTACTCGGAATCCTTCAGATTGCATCGGGGTGTCTTAGGGACAGGGGACTGCGTGCCGCTAATACATCCCTCTTGAACTTGAGCCAGTAAGGTACAGCTGAATGCCTTCCTGTTGCACCTGTGATGCTGTCTAGTTTAGCTTGCAGGGGCAGGGAGTGTCACAACATAAAAAGATTGTCCTCGTAACGTGATTTAGGAAGATTTTATTTTTTGGATGTCGTCAGAAATTACAGCAATATATTCATAAATACCTAATTACTACATTCAACAAATAATATTACAATACAGTTAATCCAAACAAGTACACTTAGAACAGGTTTCATTTCACAGCATCTAAACTGCCCCCAGAGTGACCGAGGCACTGTTGTCCTCCCTGCCACCCGAGTCTGGGTTTGCTGTCCTAGCAGTGAAGCACAGGGCACACACACAAGTGACACAACCAGTGAACATGTCTTCCTCAGGTCAGGGCAGAGCCTAGGAGTGTAAGCACCGGATCAGAAAGTTGGGAGCAGGGTACAGAAGTCGTGAAGTCAAAGCTTGATTACTGCAAAGAGTACAGATTGCTTCTAAGTGGCTAATATACACTTTAAGGAGGGCCAGGTTTGCGCTAACCATCTCCATCTTGTGGTGGGTCCCTGGAATTGTTTGTGAGAGGGAAGAGGAGGACTCTGGTTTAAAATTCAGCTTTTGAGATTGGGGGGTTCTGTGAGCTACTTGGAAGATTTCATTCTGCTACGAGCTTAAGGTTTTCTGTGTTGTAATTCTTTGCTGCTGAAGATGTAGGCTCCTTTTACTATTCCGAATATCCTTTGGTGTACAACCTGTTGTGATGTTAGTGTCAATTAAGTGTTTTGCCCACTTAAGACTGGGCTATAGAAAACCCTATCGTGGTTATTTGAGAACAGACTTGTGATTTGGGCTCTGATTCTATGAAACAGAGCAACTTGTCTCAAAGATTGATTAAATGGGGAACCACACCATCTAGCATCTGGCTGTGTTCCTCTGAGCTCAGTGAATTCCCTGCCAGGACAGGTGGCAGCTGTCGCTTCCAGGTGATATGGGAAGACAGTTGAGAAGGAATGAGGTATTTGCTCACGTAAATATGGACACACAGGTTGCATAATCCACTCTCCATCAGCAAATCTGATGTACTCAACTCATTGAGCAAAAACTGAACAAAAAGCTTCAGAGGCGGTGTTATCAAGCCCAATGGAAAACCGTGTGTTCTCTGAAAACTAATTGTTGGATGGGAAAATCATTGTAGACTGTCTTTGTGGTACTTCGTGAAGAGACCCTCTGCCTCTTTCGTGGTTGGTGTGTGCTGCCTCACTGCTTTGTACTTAGGTTCTGATTGTCGTATTACTTCTTGGGCAGAAGAATATTCAGATACTTCTGCAGGCGGGAGTGGGGGAGGCAGGGCAGAGGGGCCCAAGGGCAAGAAAGGGTGTGCAGTTTCCATTTGGCTGGGAGAAAGCAGTTATTGCTGGCGCAGGCTTCCACCCCGGGCAGCCCTTTCTGAGGATGCACCCTTTGTTCTGTGTGCCACCCTGCCCCATGACAGGCTGATGTGGGGAGAGGGCCGTGCCCACCTTTCCAGTAACATATTAGAGCCACTTCCCCTTTCCCTTTAGCCAAGGCCATTACCAAACCTGACTAGCACATGCATCAGCCATGGTGATGTGGGAGGCAGCCTGGGGGTGAAGGGCTGCAGCAGGCTGTGCGCTTTCACCCCAGGGACGGAGACTTGCAGGAAAGGCAGCGTGCCTGTGCCCTGGTCGCTCGCAGTGTGGCTCCCTCTCCACGCCTGTGGAACATGTGCATCTCTTAATGTCTTTGCAGGGGATGAGGCCCTAGCACAGCCTTTTAGTTCTTTTCCACTTGCTGCCTTGGGTGAGAAGGAGCTTATTGACTGGCGGCACTTCGCGTTTGCTAATAACTGGAAGATCCTTGGCAGGCGTACAAAGCAAACTGTGGGGGCAGATGAGTGACACGGTGCCAGCTGCCAGCAAGCTGCTCTGCACAGGAGGGGCAGGAGCTCAGGCCGTGGAGCACGGCAGCGTGTGTCCAGCGGACATTGGGCTCAAACTGCCTCCCTTGCCCCAACCCACTCCTGGGCCCATGGGGAGGGTCCCGGCCCTGCTAGAGAGACCTTCCTGACCTAGAGGAAACACTTTCCAGCAATGTGGCCGTCCCTGTGCCCGTCAGCTAGGTTCAGAGGAGGCATTCAGCTCAGACATTGTTGATCCTACTTGAGGCTTTTACAAAGCTCTGTATCTAAATAAAGCTTCTAAAGTTTCTACTCTGCACCTGTTCTCAGGCATCTCAGAATTCTATCGCAGAAATTGTTCACTTCCTGAAAGGTTCTTTTAGAAAGCCCCAGGGCCCTGTGTGCATGTGGCTGCTTTACACAGGATCTGTCTTGTTCCCGCCATAAACTGTCCCCTCACTTCACAGCAGTGGGGTCTACTTGCTATTACCTTGTCCATATGTGGGGCGGGGGTGAGGGAGGAGGTAAGTAACGCATGGCTTTCTGCATCGCTTCTGGTGCAATTCAAATCAAAAATGAAGTGATCGCATAGGCGCCAGTGGTAAGCTCTTTTACTTTTTTTTCTTCTTCTTTAATTTTTAAAAACTTCAATATTTTAATTTCCTGACCAGCAGCAGTACAAACACTAAAAGCAAGGGTTTTTTTTTTTCTTTTCCCAGCAAAAACAAACAAAACCCCAAACAGGAAAAACAAACAAACAAAAATCCCCCAAACCACATATTAAAAATGGCAGGCTTTTTATAACAATTAAAAGTAATAAAAACATACAAAACTTTGCTTTTTAATATATATATACACACAGTACAAGGCTGAAGCACCTTTGACTTTTCTCTCAAAATTTACGCTGTATGAAAACACTCCCCACTGCAGTAACAATGAGGTGGGTGTGAGTTCGTGCACACAGGGCTCTGTACATTCTCCCCAAGGAGTAGTAAAAAGGGACCTTCGGTTTGCGGATTCACTTTGAGAGCTTTTCCAGGGGAAAGCCTAGGAATGCTCTGTGTGCTCCTAGGACTAGTTGTTTTAGACGATTCTGTGGAAAAGTAACTGAAAAAACCAAACAAACAAACAAAAAAAACCCACAACAAAACAGAAAAAACAAGCCCTTTACTTACAATGCACCCAGCCTTCTTTTCAGCTGGAGCCAGTCTCTCCTGGGCAGGAAGAGGCCAACCCCGCGCTGCAGCAGGAGCAGACCTGGTTCTTGGGCACAGTAGCACGGCAACATGACAAACAGGACCAGCCGGTCAGATCCAGGCCCACGCACCAAGGTGCTAGGTGATACTGTTTTAGTGTTGGCAATGGAGCCTTCGCTTTCAGACCAAAGAATGATGTGGGGGAAGGGGGATAATTAACCACCTTTAGGAAAATGATGGGCGTCCTACACTGGCTGCTCGCTGAGTGACAAAGGTGATTTGACTGCATTGAAGTCAAGGTGAGTTCGTTCGTTTGCTTTTTCTGGAGCCTGAAATCCTTTGCTTCATGCATGGCACATTCTCGTTTTTAAGCTTCAAACCTCCCAGTGAAAAATATTAAATATTCAAGGTAATAAAATAGATAATATTTCTATACTATAGGTTCGGCCTAGAGCAAGGGAAACCGTCACCTTGGATATCCCTTAAAGTAACCCCTAGGCCAATGCATTGCAGGCAAGGCAAGGCACTTCCGTAAGTGGTCCAGTTCTGCCTGGAGTCGCTCCCGTTCAGAGACAATCTTCTGCTTCTGACTCCTCAATTCCTGGGGAAGGGAAAGTCAATGTCAGGAAAATGTGCTCTGTCCAGTGTGGTGCCTGAAGGTGTTGATGGCTGCTGCATGAAAAGTTCAGCCTGGTGCTTTGGAACATCCCCTTCCTAGCTCAGTATAGGCAGTGGCCTTGAGTGATTTGAACTGATTTTTCCAGAGTCTTGGATTCTGGCAATTCCTGCTTTTCAGGAATGAGTACACTGTGGGGTGAGCTCAAAGCCCAGGTTCTCTGAGGCTGCGCCCTGCCCACATCCCTGCCACCTCGAGGTGGGCTGCAGGTAGGCAGTGTCGCCTGCAAAGCTGCCCATCTCCGATAAAATCCCCTCCTGCCTCCCTCGTAAATCACAGAAGGGGAGATGGGTGCTGGCAGAAAGTAATTCCCCAAGGGGGATGAAAGAGGATTGACATTCCACAGGAATCTCGGATAATCAACTGACACCCGGGCCCAAAGACTACATACCCTTCCGCCTCTCCAGAGTGGCTTTCCCTCTAACACAGGGCACTCACCGCCATGCTGTGAGAGAGCTGCTCTGCTGTCAGACTGAGGCTGTAGTGCTGGGCCTCCAGCCGCCGGCACTGTGTCTGTAACACCTGCCGCTCCAGGTTTTGCTCTGAAAGGAAAGAAGGGGCAAGCTCACATCTCTGTTCGGTGGCTGTCTCTTGCTGGCCCCTGCGGTCTCCTGGAGACCACTGTGCCTCCACCCTTGTTTTGTTTACTGAGACTGGGTCTGACAGGCATGCGCTGCCGCCGCCTCCAGTCTGCAGTCCTTTCATTCATACCAATCAATACGTGAGGAGCGCTGCAACCAATCAAACCTAACCCAGCTTCGGAATGATGGATATTGAATCAGGTTGAAAATTCACAGCTTTAAAAGGCATATTTCCAATGAAAGATAAAAAGCCATTTAGTTTAAGCTGCTAAAAGTCTGAGATAAACTTAGCAACTGTGTCATCAATTCAAATCTGTATCACCGGAAGATGGGTGGCCTACTTCCGGTAGGAGGGACTTTAAACCTCCAAGGGTAAATCCCTGTATGAAGGGCTTCACAATGAAAAACAAGGTGACCTGGCTGACTTTAGAGAATGTTTTTTGTTTTGTTTTTTGAGACAGGGTCTCCCTCTGTAGTTCCAGCTGGCCTTGAGCTCATTCGTGTAGCCTAGACGGACCCAAACTTGCTGAGATCCTCTGCCTCAGTGCCCAGTACTGCTCACGCTTGGCTGTAGAATGATCTTGATAGCAATGTGAAGCACCACAGCATTAGTCTACTGTAACTTAAACTAAAGTCAAAAAACCACTTAATTCAATAAGGATGGAGCAACAGCAGGGGAAGAAAAAAAAAAAACTTGGCCATATCAGCAGGTACGGAAAAAACAAGACACCATAAACTCAGATAAACCAGGCAAATAACCCCATTTTGTTTTAAAAGTAAAATGCCTCTTAAAATTTCACAGAAATGAGCCCACTGCTGCCTCTGTTTCATACCAGAAGAGGCCCTGAGGCAATGCTGTATGACAAGAAATTAAAACTATGACATTTCAAAAGCAATCCACCTTTAAAATTTGCAGGTCTGATCCCCTATGACTTCTACCTAGGGCAGACTACGTAAGAGAGTCCCAAGTAAAAGGTTCCCAAATCTAGTAAAAGGGAACCTCTTAAACCAGTGCTATGCCATATTCAAAGGCAGATACTATTCTTCCCCAGGCCTGTAAATCTAATGCAATTGAAAATCGAGAGATTTCTAGGCATCATGCCTGGTAGGTATGTGCTCTGTCACTGAGCCTGCATGCTCAGCCTAGCCTCGAACTTGTGATTTCCTGCCTCAGACTCCAGGTAGCTGAGCTGACAGGTGAGCACAGCCATGCGTGGCTCTAGTGAGGCTTTTCTTTTAACAGTGCAATATAGTAAGATGATACTAAAGTTCATGTAGAAAGCCAAGGGCCAATAACAGCCGAGTTAGATTACAGGAGGACAAATCAGGGCAAGTTGCTCCAGACAGTGGAGACTGCAGGGGCAGTCTGCTCCCAGGACAGGACGCTGCGAGTGACGGAGTTGGGTTCTGTCACAAGTCCCAGGCATAGTAAGAATTTATAGGCTCAGAAGAAAATATTCAAAAATACCCTTACAGCCCTACAAGCCTAGAAAAGATACATCTGTCTCATGTCTTTAATTTGACTTACCGCCATGTACTACTTCAGAATATGATGTATGCACCCCAAGAACAACGTGGATGGGAATGGGGAGTCAGTCCTAAGTAAGGACACCATTTGATAATCTGCCTGTGGCTACTTGGGTGTTTGTTCTGTTTGTACAAAGTGTTTGAAATGACTGATCCTAAGACGAGATTACAAACACTACTTACAGCACCGCAAAAATGAAAACGAGGCGACAGCAGCCTGGGACTGGCAGGCACATGACAGCTCTTATCACAGTGGGTACCCACTGCTGCCCAGTTAGGGTGGTGCATGCAGGGCTAAGAGCTGTGCCCCCTCCACTCCCCAAGGGACTTTTGCAGACATCTTGGGAAACAAGGCAAAAAGCGCCATAATGCCTGAACTCTGGCAGCACCCATCTCTGACCAGAGGAGGCAGCTGTCCAGAAGGAGCTGCCTTCCCGGGGGAGTCCCACGGGGGAGCACATCACAGGCCCCCGCCAGGCTGGCCATGAGGGCTCAGCTAGGGATGCAAACGAGGGGACAGAGCATTTTAGATGTGGCCCAGAGAGCAAGACCCACCCCTGTCTGGGCCATCACTCTGACTGATGGGCTGGCATAAGGTACTTCTATGTCCTTGGGCTGTGAGCTCCGGCCCCTCCCCGGTGAGATGCACCTAGGGCTTGGGCCGGCGGAACATTCACTTGTGTTTGGATCTAGTTGTGCCCTGGAAACCTGCAGCTCTATGGTAAAAGTCTGACAGGCACTGGTGCGTGACAGTTCCTCCCCACGCTTGCCCCGCATACCTTCTATGTGTTCCTGGTAAGCTTCAAAGATTGCCTCAATTCCTTGCCACTTGCGCCTGGGGGCTTCTTCATCTTCCTCTTCACTGTCCCCCTCCTCCTCATCGTCGTCTGAGTCCTGGTCCAGCTCCTGTGTGTGGGGACCCTTCCTCCCGGCTAGGGGCTCCTGCTGCCCATTATGCTGGGGTAGAGGGACCCGGCTGGATGACTGCAGCTCAGGAATGTTGTAGTGGACAGAGGTGTCGACCTTGTGGTTCTGCTCTGCAGACAGCACAGCTACACTCCCTGCGGAGAACAAGGGCATCCACGGGGTGAGGCTCTCCGAAGGGGCTGTGCCCCGCCTTGCAGGCAGAGTCCTCATATCCATGGAGGGGTCTTCCCCGCGCCTCGGGGCTCGAGATGGAGCCGGGAGGGAGGGTGGAAGAGCTGTGGAGCAGTGGCAGACCTGAGTTCTAATCAGTCAGGGCACATGTGTGATGCCGGCCAAGTCCCCCTCTGGGCTTGAACCTCTGTGGCTTTGGGCATGGGCAGCAGAGTCCTCCACGGCGTGGCCATGACCTGGCTCAACGGTCTGCACTGGCTTGTGCCTCCATCCTATTGTTAGCTGCCTCTGTGCAGTAAGTTTGCACCCGTCTCCGGTGACATGTTAACTCAAGTAGAAGACCCAGCTCACAGTGTCAGAGCCCAGTGTCTTATTAACCTTCTGAGCCAGTCAGAGGGGCTCATAGCTGTAATCCCAGCATTCTGGGAGGCTGAGGCAGGAGGACTGTGAGTTCAAGCCAAGCCCAAGAAACTTAGCAAAAAAACCCAGACTCAGCAACCTGTCTCCAAAAACAAACAAACAAACAAATCTACGGATGCAGCTCAGTGCAAAGGCCCTGGGAGTTCAACTCCCCAGTACTGCAGAAACAGTTCTAGCATAATGATTACATCAGTTTGTGCTGGCTGTTAGAATTTATGCTCAGTCACTCTCAGTTATTGAGGAATTCTTTTCTGATCCGTTTGATTCACTGGGAGTAGTGTGGCCATCCCCATTCTGACCCTCAGGGACTCCCACCTAGATGCCAGTGCATCTGGAGATGCACGTGGGCTGGGGGCACTGATCTGGGTGCGCACTTGCCAGGACTCTGTCAAAGGGCCAGGCGGCCTCCAGCAGACTGCTGGGTGGGAGGCACACCGGGAAAGTGCAGGATTTGTGGCCAACAGCCCACCTCAGCGGCCTCCCTAAAACCATTTGCTGGAGTGGGACCCACAGACCAGCTGGGCCAGACTGATGCCTGACAAGGTCCCCAGCTGCCTCGTGGGCACTGAAGTCTGAGGCGCCATCACTGCTACACAGTCAGGCTAGCTGAGCCCACGGCTGCACACAGCAGCTGCTGGCATGCGGGAACACAGCTGGCTGCTATGTGACTCGGGAGCAGAGTGGGATGGCAGCCTCTTTACCTTTATGCTTCTGCAGGGCCTTCTGGGTGGACTGCAGCACTGACTCGTGGAACTGATGTGCAAACTCTTCTGCCATGAAGGGCTCCCACGCTTTGCTCTTCCCGTTGATGCTGTGGGACAATGGCACAGGAATGTCCTTGGGCGCAGAGCCCCGGATGTAATGCAGCATGCTCAGGCTCTTCTTGCCCCCAGGGGCCTCGCTCAGCCTGGCCTTCTCACCGCTGGTAGGAGCTGGCTCCTGGGCTCTCAACAGTTCCTGGGGCCTGAGTGGTTCCAGTCTCCCAGTCTCCACGGCTTTTGGGACATCGGACAAGGAGGCAGCAATACCAACAGGCTTGTCTGTTTCCATAGAAGCGGGCTGTGCAGCTGGTTCTTTGAGACACAGAAAGTGAGGAAACATTAAGAGCTGCAAATTTATTATTATTATTATTATTATTATCATTATTGGATTTCTTCTGAGACAGGGTCTCGCTTTGTAGCTCAGGCTGCCCTTGAAATCACTGTGCAGCCCAGGCTGACCTCGAACTTAAAGCGATCCTCCTGCCTCAGTCTCCCAAGTGGTGGGGTTATAGGTGTGTGCCCACACACCCAGCAGGAGCTGCAAATTAACAACTAGGTGTCCAGCACTAGGGCCCCAGCCTGTCAAAGCTTACATTTAACAAAGACCTAGTACAAATACCCAAGGCTTGGGGACAGGACCCACTGCACATGGCGGTGGAGGGAGGTTTGCAGCAGCAGCAAGTCCATCCTGGAGAGGTGCCTGCAGGACATCTGAGAAGAGCAGAGGGAAGAAGCGAGTGGCTTCCAGTTGCCGAAAGGGAAGAGGTGGTATTTAGCCCAAGTGGCTGGGAAAGCACACGAGGAACCAAGCTAAGGAGGATGGACTGGAAGGGCTCCCTGCTTGCTTGGCAGGCAGAGGTGTAATCAGACGCGAGAAGAGGTGAGAACAGGTGCTGGCAAAGCCAGGAAGGCAGGAAGAGCGAGAGGCGGGTCAGGCAGGCAGGCTGGGCCGAAGCTTGTCCTCCTGCCCAAGGCAGCACTTCGGGGATCAGGTCCCCCTCCACTGGCTTTGGAACGAGGCTCTGAGGGTCGATGGCTAAGACCACACAGGCCACAGACAGCTCTGGAGGCTGGTCCCTCCCAAGGAGCAGCGTGACTGTGTGTCAACTATGAGGGATGGAGAAAAACGTCGCCTCCAGCAGGGCAGGTTCGTGATGAAGATGACCTTGAGTGCCACCTCTGACCCTGGGCTTTGGCGGGTGGGGCTGTCCTTCCCTTACCGCTCAGGGAGATGGCAGGACTGTCCCTCGGAGAGCTTGTCATTGAATCTGCCACCGCTGCTGACAGTGTCCTCTGCTTGGCGGCACGGAGCATTTCAACAAGTCTCTCGTTGTCTGTGAGAAAAGCAGCCTGAGGTTAAGGAGGCAGGGCACCATCGCTGAGGGAGGGTGGGAGTCTGGCCCGCCAGGGCTGGCGGGTGCAAGCCCATTAAACAGGAAGAATGGAAGGCAAGTGCCACGGGCCGGGCCACGGTGACAGAAAAGCGGGACCAGCTCCTCTCAGCTTCCACAGCATGTGCCACATGGGATCCAGACAGCTGTGTGCAGTGTGCAGGGGTCTGGGAGCAACCGACGCCCGTGGTCTTTCTGGCGACTTCTGAGGAGTTGTTCTTATTTAAAAGACAAGCGAGGTGGCCCCCACGCAAGGAGACACCCTGTGCCTGCGCAGGCCTGGGGAGCACTGCCCGCCCCTACTCCTGGTGCTCGCACACAGACCCTAGCACATTCCAGGCTGTGGATTCCTATTTCAGTTATGCTTCTTGCCAACCCTGAAACTGAAGAGGCCACAGTGCTGTTGGCTTCCTCTAGAAATTCAGTCAGATGAAAAGATGGTTTGGGCGGGGGGACCCCAAACAAACAACCTAGGCACATTTCCAGGGATTTGTGCTGGCCGTCAACCTGCCACAACCCTTAAAGGGAAAGCAAAGACTCCGACGTGCTGGTTAAGTGGAACAGCGGCCGCCACTCCCCGTTAAACACGTTGGAGCAGCTCAAGGCTCAAGATCCTCTCTGCTTTCCTTTGACTTTCTTCCAGAGAGGACGCCAAGTGTGTCTGCAAGGGAACTCTGAATCGCAGGAAACGCGGCCAGGAACGTCAGCATCTCGGCACCCCGCCAGCGTGCCAAGAAGACCAAGGCTGCGGAGGCCCCAAGAAGGTGCCAGGCCACACCGCTCCCTGCTGCGCAGTACATCCCAGCCTAAAGGACGCTCCCGTCAGCAATGCTCGGGGTGAGCACACTGGCCAGGAGCGTCTTCCACCCACAAGCCACCTGCTCCACGTGTTGGCCATGCCCAAAGGCGACAGGCCTGATGCCACAAAACAGCCCAGCAGACCGGGTCAAGCACCCTCAGTTGGCACGCAATCGCCTCCCCACTCCCAGGTCCAGCCACAGCACACTGCCCCGGGACCACCTCCTCAGGTGCACACTGGACAAGTGACCAGAGCAGCTGTCAACTCGGGACAGGCTGCACGTGCAGGACCATGGAGTCTTCATGACCACCCAAGACACGAGAGAAAACGAGACTTCGAGTGCGTGTGGGGGACAACAGCCAAGCACGACCGGGGTGCACTATGGGGTGGGCCGCACGAGCACACACCGGCCCAGAGCCTCACTTGCCACCACACAGGCTGGGTGGAGCCGTCCGTACCTTTCCTCTTCTCCGCAGTGATGTGGGTCAGGTTGAAGATGGTCAGGAACTTCCTCTTCTCCTCGAAGTTGGGGCTGTTGTTCATCTCATCCGGGCTGTAGCGGGTGGACAGTGCCAGTCTTGGTGAAGGCATCTGCCGCTTACTCTGAACTGCTGGTGGGGATGGGCTTCTCTCCTTCAGCATCCGCCGACGCTTCCTCCGCTTCTGGGCTACCAGCTCCTCCTTCTGCTGTTGGGTGGTCAAGCCAAAAAGTTGCAAAAACTCTAGCTTCTGGATTGGGAAAGAAAACAAATGAGTTTGAACCCAGTGGCAGTGCTACACTTTCATGTCCTGGAGGTCCCCACGGCCCAGCCCTGAGCATGCCACAAAGGGAGGAGGGCCTAATACCTCGGAGGATGTGTCCAGTTTGAGGGGTGGCTGCTCAGCCACGCAGCGCAGATGGGCTCTGACCTCTTCCTCGTCACTCTCGTCGTAAGAGTCATCGAGGTCGTAGTAGTATCCTGATGGTGAAAGTGCTTGCATTTAGCCAGGCAGGGAGCCTGGCTTCTCTAGCCAGGGTGTACCTGGGGGATGTGTGTAAGCCAGCCAGCCCAGCAATGCCTGGCTTCCCCAGACCCAGTGGCTTGGCCTTCCCCAGGCAGATGGAGGGCCGCACCAGCAGGAGACCATCATTACCACACCACACCCGGTGTCCATGGCAACTCGATGCTATCTGTGCGCACAAGCTCCCCAGAGGGGCTGACAGAACAATAGTGGGTCCTCTGCTCCATGGGCCCCCCTTCCTTTATTACATGAGCAGGGGAGAAAATCCCTAGCTGGGCTCCAAATCCAGCCTAGACCAGTGACCCAGGAAGGGAGGCTGCTGCAGCCCAGAGTAGGCTGGGAGGAGCCAAGCTCAACACCAAACTAGACTGGAGCTCCATGGAGGACACGAGGCTGGCCTGGAGCCTGGGGTCCTCGCTACATACCTGCTGATGAGGCAAGGTGTGGAGGGCAGCCTCGTTCCCACCTGGTCCTGCTCCACTCCCTTGGGAAGGTGCCTGACACCTGACCCGGCCCAGGGTGTGCCAACTGAGCCCCTCACTCCCTGGGAACCTGCCTACAACTGACACTAGGGCTCAGGCCTGTCTTACTGCCAGCTTTCTTCCTTGCTAATGCTGCACGTTAATATTTAAAACTGCCTTATTAGCCACCGCTCATCACTTATTAATCATGTGTGTCAGCAGCGCCTTGTACAGACAGGCTTTGATTTGCCTTTCTGGGACTGTATTCATCCTGGCAGGACCAGCAGGGGCCAGAGAGTTTTTCCAGAATTCGCTACCTTGGAGCCTGTTCAAGCCCTGCACTCTTCCTGAGGCAGGAGGGGAAGGGGTGGCAGCAGTACAAGGGCCCCTTATCCCCTGAAATCCCACCCAGGGAACCGGACCTTTCTCCTGGGCTTCCCGCCGCCGGCGCTCTTCCAGGTCCAGCTTGCTGACCAGCCTCCGGCGCTGCTGCAGGACCTCATCATAGACGTAGGCAGGGTCAGGGCCGCGGGCCGCTGGGTGCCGATAAGGTGAGCCAGGTTTCAGGGGCCCACTGAGCTCCCCAAAGGAGGCTGCGGGGGGGAGGGAGACCCGCTGCTGGCCCAGGAGGGTCTGTGCAGACTTCTCAAGCTCAGCCAGAAAGGGCCCAGGTCCGTGGGGAAAGGCCGGGGGCTCCAGGCTTCCTGCCTCCCGTGCTGGGGGCTGGTACTTGTCCAGGGGGGTGGCCTCGCGCTTCCGGGGCTCCTCTGTCTTTTCGGGGCAGTAGACGCGCTCCACCTTCACCAGCGGGACGGCGGCCTGGCGGCTGGGCTCAAACGCCGCCGGGTGGCTGTGCAGAGCGTGGCTCTCAGCCCGCCTCGTCTCGAGGGTGGTGTCCATCAGAGACACTGGGTTCCACAGGGCCGTGGGTACTGTGTGGTGTTGCGGCTTGGGAGAGATGAGAGGTGGTGGCCCACCAAAGTGCTGTGGGGCCTCGCGGCTGCCTTGCTCAAGCCGAGTTTGTCCTGGCCTGGGGAGAAAGCAGATCACCCACCTGTCACAGGGCTGCAGACCTGCGGGCTACCCAGGTCAGCTCTACAGGCTGCCAGCTGGCCCTATGCAGAAAGCTAGGGCTGCAGGGATAGGAAGGCTGCCCCTCGTGCCACGTCTTTGTGGGCAGCTGGTGGCAGTGGAGTATGGAGCTGCCCGAGGGGCAGGGCAGCCCAGAGCTAGGGTGCTGGTGAGGCAGTGGGGTCCCTTTGGGCCCAGGCTCCACTTGCCTGCTCACCCAGATCCCAGGAGGACAGGTGCTCAGCCTGTGGCCCTGCCAGCAGCCCTTCCCCCCACAGGACAGGTAGACAGCCAGGCACTGTCTTCACAGAGGCCACCACTCCTCTCCCCACTGTCCTCTGGGGCAGGCATCATGCCAGCCACAAGCTCTCATACCTGCCCAGCTTGGTGCCTAACCCACAGGACAACCTCACCAGGACAGTCCCTATCAGAACCGCAGTGATACGCAGAGGCCTTCAAGGGTCCGGGGAAGAGGCATTGGGGATCTCACTCAGGGACTCCCTGCAGAAGCTCTGCCTGGCACTGTACTACTACACAGGGTCTCTTCAATGCCTATCGACAAAAGCAGCTCCCGGAGGACTACTTCAGGTGTCTCTCCACAGCTTCTGAGGCAGTTGTAGGACCTTAGGACCCATGCTGCTCAGTGATCCAGGGCAGGTTGGCAGGAAGGAAGCAGAGCCTGGCACGTTGTGGCCAGTGCTCAAGGCCCTCCGTGCCCGGCTGGGTACCATCCTCACAGCCTTGCAGGCTGCTTTGAGCCACTACAGACTTAGAGCCAGGAGCCCTGCCCCATGAGCAGCAGAGCACAACGAGAACAGCCCTGGAAACTGTCCTTAACTTAGGTAAACAGCAGAGGAATAAAACCATCAGCAGAACGAATGCTCCATGTGCCAAGAGCCAAGCACCACACAGCTTTCCAGCCAGGGAACAGGAGGACCCTGTCAGAACCACATCGGTGCACAGCCGGCCACGGGGCAGGCCGACACCAGCGGAGGAGGCTTGGCTGCAGGGTTGAGCACACAATTACCCAAGTGTTGCTGGCCGGGCACCAGCTGCCCTCTCAACCCTCTGGCCAGGAGGGATCTGGGGCACAGGGCACCTCAGGAGCCAGGGAAGCTGAACCCTTGTGAGGCCTTGGGGAACAGTGAGGCAAGAGGACCCCACTCCGCTGTGCTGCACAGTGGGCGGGCCAGGGTTGGCTCCCTCCCAGATGCCCTAATCGATGAGAAGGCAGGAGGCCTGGGCTGAAAGACGCACAGAAAGCTGCCTTCAAGCCTCCATATCCGGAAGAAGGCAAGGCCTGGCCCCCAGGAAGGATGCCAAGGCAGGTGGAGACTCCAGGGGCAGGTACAGACCTCCAGGGAACTCGTCTATACCAGGGCTAAGAAACCCATTTTTCTGAGATAGGGTCGTCTCGCTATGTAATCTCGGCTGGTTCGAACTCATGGCCCTCTTTCCGCCTCAGCCTCCCAAGTGCTGGGAATGCGTGTGTAACACCACCACACCTGGCTTGTTTATTTAAAAAGCAATACACAGCCGGGGATTTAGCTCAGCGGCACTGCGCCTGCCTCACAAGCACAAGGTCCTGAGTTTGATCCCCGGTACCCCCTCCCCCAAAAACAAAAGCTCATGTTAAAAAAAAATAAATAAAATAAAAGCCATCCCTTTCTGAATTAAAAAAAAAGCCCAGGCTGAAAAGCAAAGGAAAGTGGAGCAAACAGGGATTATCAGTCACTAAGCCTTCCGGCCACCACCTCTGGGTACAAGCAACCTGCTGGGGACTCTGCCGGGCTGTGCGGAAGGGGCCCTGTACTGTGGACGGCGCACTCAGTTCCCTCACAGGCCAGCCCAGGTAACAAAGCAGAACTGAGCAGGGCGCTGGGCCCCCAGGGCGGATGCCGGCCCGGGCCCCACCTGCTGCTCTCCAGCCTGGGCTCCGCC